CATAAGAGATTCAAGAACTTAAGTGGTAAAGGATGTGTCCTGAAATGACCTACCATAATTTGTTGATCCCCATTCAGTTTTTCTACTACTCAGAACACTCCTAGGATCAATAAATGATGGTAGGTAGTACACAGAGAAGATAATCTCCATGCCGATAAGTTAGATAGATGTGTGGTAATTTTTTTGAATTCTAATTTGAAATCCGATTTATGTTCACTCTCTGGGCCAGCTATGAGAGTGCTGATATCTCTGATTTGCCGATCCTTCACTGACAGCGAGGAGAACACCAGCATTATCTATTGGAAAGCTTTCATATAGCCCTTTACATTAAATTAAATCAGACAAGGTAATATATGTGGAGGGCCCTTTATAAACTTATTGTTAAAAAACATTTTGGGGACTGGGTGGCTCAGATGGTTGAGCGTCTGCCTTCGGCTCAGGTCATGATCCCAGGGTCCTGGGATCGAGCCCCACATCAGGCTCCCTGCTCGGCGGGGAGCCTGCTTCTCCCCCTCCCTCTGCTTCTCCCCCTGCTAATGCTCTCTCTCTCTCTCTGTATCTGTGTCTCGAATGAATAAATAAAAAAATCTTCAAAACAAAACAAAAAACAAAACAAAACAAAAACCCATATTGGTTACTCATTTAGTGGAACTGCCCGAATTGTCGAGGTGAGCAAACTGAGGCTCCATTGCATTTAAATGACTAGTACAGTCTGATGGGCAGCAGTATTCATTGAATGGTTTTCTTCCCATCCGGTTGTTGAGTTAATTCAGTAAGCCCCATTGAGATTGGACTGTCAGGCAGGGAACATCTGCCCATTTCTAGGAACCTTTTCAGTAAGCTCTGATGATTTCTTTGGGCCTAGTGGGTTTTCTGCAGAAATCCTTTACCATCCGGTATTTCTTTCTTTGAACATGTATGCTTGTGTTTAAGGCATCCAAGATAGAAATGTGAGCTGGACTCAGCATAAAAAGCTGTAGTTTTGTCAACTTTAAGCTCCTATCGTCAGTCAATGTGGATGAAGGGAAATAGGTTGGCTGGAGGAGCTCATCAGTGACAGCTATCTCCACTCATAGCCACCTATAGGGTGTATGGACTTGTTTTCCATTTTTTAATAAAGCAGTGATATCCATAGGGAAGCTAAAGTGTGCTAAGGTCCTAACTGAATTTAAGTCTGTGTGTTAAAAGGAAGAATTCAAGGAAAAAAACTCATACAAATTAATAGAATATGCAATTTCCAAGCATGGGAAAAATAAAAGGAATAAGGAAAATTCCATCAATCCAAATATGTAGACAAAGAGAAAAGATGTATACCATGGCAAATAAAAAACACAAAATAAGATGGAAGAGGTAAGTCTAAGTGTATGGGTAGTTACAATAAACATGAATAAACTCACTCATTAAGAGAATCTTAGATTGGATTTAAAATTTTGCAGCTTTGCTGTTTACAGAAACTATACTTAAAATGACTCAGAAAGGTGGAAAACAAAGGGATGGAAGAAGATACACGAGGCAAATGCCAACCAAAAGAAAAATTGTAAAGCAGCATTAATGTCAGACAAAATATGATTTAAAGCAATTTAGTAATAAACAGACATGTCACACTGATGAAAGGAAGAAAATCTTCCAAGACACTATCAACCACGAACCTATGCCCATAACAACATAATCTTGAGATATATAAAACAAAAAACAATGGGATTGTAAGGAGAGATTGACAATCCCTAATAATAAAGGGAGACTTTTTAAACACCTTTGTCAGAAAATGGTTAAAGAAAATAGATTGAAAAATGAAAAAGTATAATATGAAAGACTTAAGATCTAAATGAAATGGAAGGGAGAGAATCTTTGATGCCAAATTCTTAGTGACAAAAATGCATTTTTAGTCCAAATGTGACTTTTTTTTTTGTTTCTCAAATTTTTTAGGCAGGGAAGATTTAAACGTACATGCTACATTTAATAGGAAGATTCTTAAATTACTTCCAAAAGAATAGAAGGTCCACAAATGCAAGGGGACAGGAAGAAACATCCACCTTTTGATGCCTACCAGAAAAGACTCCTTTGGCCTGCAATGTGACATGGATGACAATAACCTAAATCTGAAAGTGTCAATTTCTATATAGCCTCACAACCATGGTTTGGCAACAATTTTTCTATCAACATTTATAATACTATCGTATAATTATATATCATAAATATATAATACATATAACTATATATCATGTAACAGTAATATATTATTATAATATAATTTATAAAAACATAATACTTAAAACCTCAGGAGAGTGGTACCCTTGTGAATGTAAGAGTAAATGCAGCAAAAACTCTTCCTCTGCTCAAGATGCCTGTCTTCCTGTGCCTTCTAGGACTGAGTTATTACACTTGAAATGACCATTTGGGACTTACATTTAAAAAGTTTTAAGATGTGTATATGACTTAAAAATAAGCATGTTGCAACTAACCCATTCAGGTAAATATTGTCCTTCAGAATTCCATGGGTAGATGTTCACTTATATTCATGCCACAAATTCTACTCAAGATACCACATTTCATCCATTTTAAGAGGTCAGTTTTTCATATTTTAACATTTCTGAAATTGAAAAGATCCTGCACGGTCGATGGTGTTTTACAATCCCTTTTGGCCGGGTGGCAGTTGCGACATCATAGTTGTTCTGTATGCACATGCAATATCAAAATGTCTAGGATCAAAACGTGCCTAATGGGTGGCTTGGGTGGAAGTCCTGAGACAATGGAGGATCACCTTTAACTCCCAGAAACCAGCAGTTGTGGGAAGAGAATGGTGGAGACGGTTAACCAGATCTAGTTACTGATTATGCTGAAATGAGAGACAAAAGGATGCTAGTCTACATATTTGCAAAGCTGACTTGAAAGCGTAGCTAAATGGCTTTTAGTTCTCTTAATGAGTTCTTTTGCTGTATTTAATCTTAAATTCCCAAGGATACCACTCTCCTGAGGTTTTAAGTGTTATGTTACTATAAATTATGTTAAATAGTATATTATTATTTATTATATAATATAGTTATCAATATAGATTTATAATATAAAGTTTTATGATAATGTCATAAATGTTGACCAAAAAAACTCATTGTTGTCACCAGGGTTTTTTTTTTTAAGATTTTATTTATTTATTGGAGAGAGAGAGTGAGCAGCAGAGGGAGAGGGAGCTGCAGAGGGAGAAGCAGACTCCCCACTGATCAGGGAGCCCAGTGCAGGACTTGATCCCAGGATCCCAGGATCATGACCTGAGCTGAAGGCAGAAGCTTAACCGGCTGAGCCACCCAGGCACCCACCATGGGTTTTTTTTTTTTTTTAAGATTTTATTTATTTACTTGACAGAGAGAGAGAGAGAGAGACCAAGCAGAGAAAGAAGCAGGCAGAGAGAAAGGGAGAAGCAGGCTCCCTGCAGGGAGCCTGATGTGGGGCTCCATCACAGGACCCTGAGATCATGACCCAAGCCAAAGGCAGATGCTTAACCGACTGAGCCACCCAGGTGCCCGGTCTTCATGGTTTTGATACTGTGTCAATAGTGCTCCTGGTGGCACAGAAGACATCAAAAAATTTGAGTTGAAAATTGAATTCTGAATAGTTTTTTCATAAGGTATGCATGTTTGATTAAAATGTCTACATTGAAAAGAGCTCTTTCAAGAAGTATAAAAAAATTTAAGTGATAAGGAATTGTGACAGGTTGGGTTTTTTTTTTTTTTCTTACTGGTGCATAAAGTAATGGGGCTCTTAACTTTGATGAAATATTTTTTGAAACTGCTTTCTTAGAATTACCTTTCAGAGCTATTGTTTAAAAAACTGATCTTTAGACACATCCCATTTTATAAATCTTGACTTGGATAGAATTATAAGTACACAGTGATTTTCCCTTAACACTTTAAAGATATTCCATCATCTTCTAACATTTATTGTTGCTAATGAAGAGCCTTCTGTCAAACTGGTTGTTACTCCTTATTAGGTAAATCTGTTTTTTTTCTCTCTGGCAATGTTCAGATTTTCTTCTCTATATTTAATATTCTAGTGTTTCAATATATTGCATATAAAGGGTGTGCCTGTGTGTGTGTGTGTGTGTGTGTGGTGGTGGTGGTGGTGGTGGTGGTGGGGAGGGGTTGCCTGCTTGCACTTGGTGGCCTTTTTAACCTGAGGACTCATTTTTCTTCAGTTCTAGCAAACTCCTTTATTAACTCTTTCAGTATTGTCTCTGCCATTCTATTTTTTTCCTTCTGATATTCTTTCTGGATATATATTGAAGCTCTTCTTTTGTTTTCTTTTAATTCTCTCATTTTTCAGGTCTATAGACTGCTTACTTAGATGTTTTATAATTCGTGTCTGTGAGTTAATTCTCTGGGGGCTTTTTCTGACCTTGTGGGACCTAGGAACTGGAGGAGGCACCTCTGTTGTATAATGTCCTGAGCAACCTACTTGGGCCCTGAAGGTTTCATCAGTTCCTAATCAGTTTTTATGTTAGCCTTTTAGCTTGAAGTTTCTACTCCATAAAGATAAATGGAATTTGAGCCATCTATGCCTATCTTCTTCACCAGCTTGGGATTCCTGCCTGTTTCCATCGCCTTTTCCATTCTCTTGTAGATCTTTCCCAGATTTAAGCTTCACAAGGCCTCTGCTGATTGAGGAGCCTTACCCTGTGGCCTCAAATCGTACCCATAACCCAGCATATTTCCGGCTATTAAGGCGCATACCTCATTCAGGTCTCCCCCTTGGGCTAAGCAGCTTCAGATTCTGCTTATAGATATGAATTCCTTCTCTCTCTGGCCCCAGAAAAATTGTCTTCTGTCTTCAAAAACTCTGCTTTGTACTTTTAAAGATGTTTTTATGAAGTACTTTTTAACTGATACTTCTAGGAGTTTGGAGTATAAGAGAGTGATTCCAGTGTGGCTTCTGTCCACCATCTTGAATCTAAGGGCTCATTGAGATTTCTAAAGTTTGTTTTCTTTCATTCCTCTCTTACCCACATTTAGGGTCTGGAGTCATAAGTGGGTTTCATTTTGGAGGAATTGGTACCCCTTCAGGTGGGTTCACTTTTGGCTCTGCAAAGACGATAGCCACCACTTCAGCTACCGGGTTTACGTTCTCTACACCCGGTGCAAGAGGGTTGAAGTTTGGGACTCCACCCCAACTGGTTATAAATAAGTACCTCTTCTACTGGCCTGTCATCATTCAGTAATGCAGCTCCTGCTCCACAGACTAAAGGATTCAGCTTTGGAATACCAGTTGTATCAATCCTGCCCCAGAAGGAACTGGGTTTTCTGTAGGGTAAGAGCAGTACCCTTTGATTCTTTTAGTGGTGACAAAGGTAATCATCTCTCAAAGACAAACTTGCCATTTAGAGAATGGAAAGGCTAAAGAAATGGTATGGCATTTCTAAGTCAACTACTTGGAATTATGCCATTCATTCCCAAGATAGTCTTAAAATTGAAGCCATCTGAGATTTAAGGCACAAGGCACATTGAATTCTGATCTGTGATTTCCCTTCATTTTATATGAGCCATAGGAGGTACTCACTGAGTTTTGGACATAGATCATCTTGAAATCAGGCTACTTGCTTATTTTTTTTTAAAGATTTTATTTATTTATTTGAGAGAGAGAGAGAATGAGAGATAGAGAGCACGAGAGGGAAGAGAGTCAGAGGGAGAAGCAGACTCCCTGCTGAGCAGGGAGCCCGATGTGGGACTCGATCCCGGGACTCCGGGATCATGATCTGAGCCGAAGGCAGTCGCTTAACCAACTGAGCCACCCAGGCACCCGGGCTACTTGCTTATTAAGTTTCTCTCTCTCTCTCTCTATCTCGGGACATCTTTATCTATTGATCATTGTAATGACCTTGAATATACATTCTTCCCTCCTACATTTCAGAATTTTAAAGGGAGCACTCTTTTCATGCCTTTTTATGTAAATCCAGATGGATCTAGCCATTTCTTTTGGTAGCACCTGGTGGTCCAATGAAAGCTGGAGTATTTTCTCTAGAGTTCTCCCTGATTCTGTTAGTTATCTAATAACTTGTAATATTTGGTCATCTTTCCTTCTGTATTGAGATGAAAACCTGTAGAACAGAATCTCATAAACTGCTCATATTTAAAACTTCATTTGGCGGGAGCTACGTTACATAGCTGCCATTTAATATGTCAGAGAACTATTATATTGATTTGTTTTTCCTTTTTCTATTTAGAATAAATGCACCAAAATTACACTTGTGCAACACTTGCTCTCACACAACCTTCAGTGATTACAGGGGGTTTGGGGCTGGGTACCAAGCAATGTCCCATTACACTGGGTGACAGCATCCAGCCTTTTGCTTTTGGCTCTGCTATTCAGTCTGCACCTGCCACAGGTTTGTCCTTCATCAGTGAAAGTACACCTCAGACTGGGAGGGCCAGTTTCAATGCTGTCTCTGCAGTGGAGAATGCAGCGCAACCAATAGCATTTGCAGGATTACCCCTCACTCCTGCTACTCAGCGTCTGGTAGCACAGTTACTACACAATCAATCGTTCCTTTCAACCTTGGTGGATGGCCCACACAGGTAAGGTTGGAACTCTGCTCTCCAGCGGAGAAGCACAGCATTCAAGACTGATTTTGAGATTCTTTTTTGGATTGCCTCAAATCCAAATATGACTCACTTCTCTTGCCGGAGTTTAATGCTATTGATGAATGTGATAGAAATTAAGCCCAAACTGCTCCTTCTGGTGTTGCAGTTTTAGGTTTAGAACCAAAGAATGTTTGTTTTGGAAAAAGTTACAACCTTCTGAGAACCCAGCAGTCGAGACAAATCTTCATTTAGTAATGCGAGTTATACTGAAATGTTTTGATCAATTGTTTAATGCTTGTGTTTAGCACATATATTCTTATTCACAGTCTGTTTGTATGTTCTGTTTTCTGTTTTGAAAATAAAATTTATGAAATGAAATTTATCAGGAGGTACAATAGAACAGGAAAGTGTCTTTGGGGGTGATGTAAAATTTTATTTTATTTATTTATTTTTAAAGTTTTATTTATTTTTGACAGCGAGAGAGAGAGAGAGTGTGTGTACAAGCAGGGGAAGCAGCAGGCAGAGGGACAGGGAGAAGCAGACACCCCCCTCAGCAGGGAGCCCGATGTGGGACTCGATCCCAGGACCCTGGGATCATGACCCAAGCCAAAGGCAGACGCTTAACCATCTGAGCCACCCAGGCGCCGTGATGTAAAATTTTAGAGAATATTAATAATGCGATGTCACTTATATGGCATGGCTAGGGAATGGTAAAATATTTTGGCTGGTAGAAACAGCTTACATGTGTGGGTTACCAGTTTCCAAATAATTAAGATTCAGTAAAATACATTTAACCTGTACTGAACATTAACGAGAAGGCATTTAGGATCTTGCTAAACCAAAATGCAGTTAGTAAGGAGTTCTGGTTTATAAGCCATATAAACTTGGTTTTAGTTTAGATGCCTCATCTATTTTAGAACTTGGGAAATGCACTGAGATATTAATACATTTTATTTTATAGTGCATTTTATTAAATTAGATATTCATAGTAATTTCAGAGCTTTTGGAAACAACCAAAATGGAAAAAATATTTTTAAAGTTATAGATAACATAGAACTAACTTGTTTATAATTCATGGTAGTGATAATACCAATTTCGATGGGTTGGTATAGCATTGTAGGACATAAAGAGATGAAGTGGAACATTGAAATAATTATGATGCTAAAATATTTGGTCACTACCTTAGGGGGCATCATTTTAATTGTATAAAAATGAATTTTTGGTGTTAGAAATAATACATATCTGTTATTTAAAACATCTAGGATATAAATGTTTGAGTCTCGGCTCTGTTCATTATTAGTTCTGTGACCTTGGGCAAGTTATTTTAACCTCTCAGTGATTGGTTGACTCATCTCTAAGCACTCAGCACTTACCTCATAGGGTTGTTGTGGGGATTCGATAAGTTAATGTAGGTGAAATGCCTAGAACCTTGTCTAACATGTAATAGGCACTCATAGGTAGCTATCATTGTTATTTTTATGAGAATGTACATTTCCCTACAGTGTTACATATGTTGGATATTATCCTTTTTGTATGTTTGTTTTTTATTTGATAGCTTAACAGTGGAAATAATATCAGCATTATCTTGATTTACATTTCTTTAATTACTAATAAGATGACTCCTTTTCAAATTACTTATTGAGTAATTGTGTGTGTGTGTGTGTGTATGTGTGTGTGTGAGAGAGAGAGAATTGAATAAATTCCTTGTTTGTATCTTTTGCTCAGTTTTCTAATATGGTATTTATCTTTTTCATGTTGATAATGCAGTTACAGTATCTTAACCCTTTGATACTTGTACAATAAGTATTTTTCCCAGTTTGTTTACATTTAATTTTTTTAAGTTTTATGGATATTAAAAGATCCTAATTTTTTTAATTAAACTTTTTATTTTGACATAATTGTAGATTCTCATGCAGTTGTAAGAAGTAGAGATTCCATATACCCTTTGCCTAGTGGTAACATATCACAGCCAGGATGTTGATATGGATAGTCAAGGTATAGACTATTCCTATCACTACAGGGATCCTTCATTTTGCCCTTTCACAGCAACTGTTCCTATAATTTTGTCATTTCAAAAATGTTAAATAAATGGAATCATACAATATGAGATATTTTAGGAATGGCTGTTTTTAACTCAGCATAATTTTCCATAGATTCATCCAGATTGTTGTGCGTATCAGTTGTTTGTTTTATTGATGCATAGTATTCCATGGTATGGATGTACTGCAGTTTATGTAACTGTTTGCCCATGGATGGATATTTGTGTTCTTTCTGCTTTTTGGCTATTATGAATAAAGCTGCTGTGAACATTTATGTACAGGTTTTTTGTGAACATAAGTCTTCATTTCTCTTGGATAAGTGCCCAGGAGTACAATTGCTGGATCGTATGGTAGTTGTATATTCAGTCTTATAAGAAACCGCCAAACTGTCTTCCAGAATGGCTGTACCATTTTACATACCCATCAGCAAGTATGTGTGATCCAATTTCTCTGCTCTTCACTATCATTTGGTATTATCACTATTTTTCATTTTAGGCATTCTTGCAAATAGTGATATCATATTGTGGTTTTTATTTATATTTCCCTAAGGGCTAATGATGTCGAACATCTTTTCCTGTGCTTATTTGTCATCGGAATATCCAATCTGTTCATGTCATTTAGAGTCTGAAAAAAAAAGCATTAAAAAATAGTAATGTATCCTTTTTACATAGGGACTTGGGAAATGTCAGTGAATAATAGGGTTTTACAAAAGACAGAAAGGCTGATCAACTGGGATTTTTTTTTCTCTTATTGTTAGATTTACACCTAAGTATTTCTCTTTTTTAAAGTGATTGTAAATGGTACTGTATTTTTAATTTCATATTCACTTGCTTATTGCTAGTATGTAGAAATAAAATTGATTTTGTATGTTTATCTTGATTTATCTTGTATTCTGTGACCTTGCTGAACTTTATTCTAGGAGGGTTTTGTTTTGTTTTGTTTTTTGTAGATTTCTTAGGATTTTCTACACAGTCATGTCATCTGAAAATAGGAACAGTTTCATTTCTTTCCAATCTAGATTTTTTTCCCCTTGCTTTAATGCAGTAGCTAGCAGTTCTAGTACTATATTGGATAAGAGTGATGAGAGCAGGCATCCTTCCTTTTTCCCAATCTTAGGGAGAAACATCTAGTTTCTCATTAAGTATGGTGTTATCTGTAGTTTTTTTATAGATAACCTTTATCAAGTTGAAGATGTTCCCATCTATTTCTAGTTTTTTTGAGATTTTTACCATAACTGGGTGTTGAATTTTGTAAAAGCTTTTTCTTCATTAGTTGATATGGTCATGTGGATCACATTGATTGAATTTTCAAATATTATACCAACCTTGCACCCCTAGAATAAATCCCATTTGGTCGTATTCTATATGCCTTTTATACATTGCTGAATTCTATTTGCTTATATTTTTTGTTTGATTTTTTTAAAATTCTTTCATTCATATTCATAAGAGATATTGGCCTGCAGTTTTTCTTTTATATATTGTCTGTCTGGTTTTGATCAGGGTATGATACTGGTTTCATAAATTAAGTTGGGAAGTGTTTCTCCTGTTTTATTTTCTGAAAGAAATTCTTCTTTAAACATTTGGTAGAATTCTCCAGTGAAGCCATCTGGACCGGGAGATTTGTTTTTTAGGAGTTTTAAAATTATGAATAAATTCCTTAAGTTATAGGGTTACTCAAATTACCTATTTCGTATTAGTGACTTGTGGTAGTTTGTATGTTTTGAGATGGACCATTTCTTTGAAATTATCAAATTTGTGGGCATAGTATTATTCTTTTGATGTCTACATGGTGTGTCTTGATATCCTGTTTCATTACTGATATTGGTAATTGTATCTTCTCTGTTTTCTTTTTCAATCTTAGTAGAGGTTTGTTAATTTTATTGATGTTTCAAGAATCAACTCTTTGTATTATTGATTTTTTTCTATTTTTGTTTTCCATTTCATTGATTTTTACTCTATTATTTTCTTCTGCTTGCTTTGGGTTTATTTTGCTCTTTTACTAGGTTTTCAGGTGGGAGCTTGGATGATTGATTAGAAACTTTTCTCTATTTTTAATTTTTAAAATTGAGATATAATTGACCTTATATTAGTTTCAGGTATACAACGTAATGATTTGATATCTGTATATATTATGAAATGATCACCACAATATGTCTAGTTAACATCCATCACCACACATAATTACAATTTTTTTTCTTGTGATGAGAACTTTCAAGATTTATTTACTCTCTTAGCAACTTTCAAATATACAGTACAGTATTAAATAGTCACCATGCTGTACACGTTCTTTTCTAATGTGTACATTTACTGCTATAAATTTCCCTGCCAGCACTGCTTTAACTACATCCCACAAATTATGGTATGATGTATTTTCATTTTCATTCAATTCAATGTATTTTTTTAAATTTTTGTTGAGACTTCTTCTTTGACCCATGGGTTATTTCAGTGTGTGTTTAGTTTCCCAATGTTTGGAGATTTTCCTGTTGTTTTCTGTTTTTGATTTCTGATTCCATTCCATTGTAGTTAGAGAATATACTAAATCATATTTAGTCTTTTAAATTAGTTGAAATTTGTTTTATGGCCCAGAATAAGGTCTATCTTGGTATATCTTCCAGGGGCACTTGAAAAGAATGTATACTCTGATTTTTTGGGTGAAGTGTTCTCTATAATATTTA